TTTAGCAAAATTATAACACTTTATTGATAAGACAAACTCAAAATTCATAAATGTAAAAAATTTTAACTTAATAGTTAATACCATAGAGACAAAAAAGTAATCAGTTTATATCAGTTTACATATAAAAAACTCAAAACACTCATAACTCATAGTTCAATTGCACATCATTCTGTGTAATATTTTGTGTATGATCTTTCGTTCTCCTTTTATTTTATTCTAATAAAAAAATCTAGAAGAATGTGTTGTTGGTCATTGCTATAACTTGCCAATTTTGCCATAAGTAGTGACCGTTAAATGGCCTAAAACCACAGGTGAAGTGGAAAATACGCCATTAGACATGCACAATGTCCGCCACCTAACTAATCGTAAACTATAGACAATCCAACTAAACCGTAAGCAAGCGCGTTTTAAAAATCGGAAATCTGCAAACGATGCATTCTGCCTCCATCTCGAGAGGACTGCCTGCCCAGGTAATGAATTTTACAGACGGGACAAAACTTTGAGAAATCCTGGTCGGCAGATTTGGTTCTAAGGTGCAAAAAATTATCATTTTTCTCTGTTCCTTTATCCATTCTTTACAATGTATACCCGCTGAGACTTTTTGCTGGATTTCGTTCGACGTGAACATGACGGAAGCACCCAACCTGCCTTCTTCAAACTGGTGTAATGGACATCATTAGACAACCGTCAAAGTAATAATCGAAACCGGTTCGACAATCCGCCCGACAAGGCGTGTTGTGCTTCGGTTATCGTTTACTCTGTTATGAGAGATAATCCCGCGAATTCAGATCGAAAATTAAGCGCCAGTTCGTGATATTACCTGAACCATATGTCATGTGGACACTCTAGAAGAAACATACGTTTACTTTAATCCCCGCTAGTATGTTCTTCATCTTGATGCCTCCTCCTTTAAATTATTCACAATGAAAAGACCATTTATACTTGCTTATATTACCCTAAATCAGTGGTTTACAGCACGCAGTTTAAATATCCAATGGTTCCAAGGAGCGTATTATTCGGAAAGAAACACTTACTTGAAAACATGTAAACGACGAACCGAAACGACTTTTTTGAGAAGTCTTGAACCTCTGCCTGTATACATGACTCGATTCGCTTTTGTTGTTTGAAGCCTTATGTAATTAATTAAACCACAACAATGGTAATATGCCCTAGGCCTGAATAACCATCATAACTAATATGGAGTGTTTGTTGAGTAGACCTGAGCCTTTAATCTGAATTAAACACTTACTTCAGAATTCGCGTATTCTCAGTCAATTTGGCGATGCAGCTCGACTGTAATCCAATATATCGTGGCCGAAGTGACATTGCCTTTGAAAGGTAATCTAAATTCTGCGCTTCCGCCTTTTTTTTT